TAATGTGGTAAACAATTTGTAAAATATAATTTTTTAAAGAGATTGATAAAAGACCAATTTTATTTTGAAAATTATATATTTTAAAATTTATTCCTATAGCTATGTAGAAATAATATTTATCTCTCAAAGGCATTCAAACTGAACATTATAATAAAACATAAACATATGTATGTATTTTCATTTTTAAAACGATCCTTCAATTCCCTTTACAAATTCCAAAATTCTACTGATATATTAGTTGATCTTTGACCCATCTTTCGGCCTGATCTTTGATTTCATTTTTGGTTCATGTGCTGTGGAAAAATCTTTTTAGTTACTTCCTGACTGTTAAAAGGGCAGGCCAACATCTAGAGGCCGGGGAAGAAGTCAACAATTTTTGCCTGCGGGCCAAGTCACTAAAATGTTTTTTGTGTAAATAAACAAAAGTTTGGTTTGGTTTGGTTTCCCTTCTCTGCCTTTGTTGCTCCTGTTGTTGTTGCTGCTGTTGCTGCTCCTTTTTGGATGTCGACCGCCGTCGCTGTTGGGCTTTTTTATGGATTGTTTTTTGTTTATAGACAACTACAATCGGCTGTGTACGCGGGCGCGTTGCTTTTTATGTGCTGCGCGCATCTTCGGCTGAAAAAATATAAAAGCAAAATATTTATGCGACCGTCCGTCCGTCCGGAATTGGATCCGTATAGCGATGGCAACGGGGCGGATGAGTGCTCGAGAGAGAGAGCAAGTGAGAGCGAGCTAGGGTGCGAGAGAGACAACGCTGGTAGCGATCGCTGCTTGCTGCTGCCCCTTTTTTTCGCGCCTCCAAGCAATTACTTCCAGTCGAAATACCCTGTAAGTGGCACTAAAATGTAGGGGGTATATACTACAAATGCTTAAAATAGAGGTGGAAACGAGTGTGAAATATACAGAATTCTGTACAGCAGGGAGAACTGCGTAAGTAAATATATCTAACCTCTGTCACAGCTCTAAATATTTATAGGATAAAGACTTTTAAGACCGCTTAAGCGGTATCCCAAAGTCTAACCCCCTAACAAACCACCATCATTCACTTGTCTTTTTATGAACTTCCACACACACTCCCCCAACAGCCTCATAAACAAACATATAGAGCTTGTACGCGCTCACATCAATATATAGGTACATATATGTATCTTGTAGATGCATATTCAGTACATTAGCCGGGCTTTTTGTTATTGTTGCTGATGGACAGATCGGCCGACTTCATCATCGGTGGCCATTAGTCAGCACTGCCTACGCCGTGCCTCTTGGATCCCCTGTGAAACCCCTGGATCCGTCTATGAACTTTGATCGCTGATTGATTGGCCAAATGCACTCGAAAATGCAGGCAGCACCTCCGTGAAGGAAGGCGAGTATATCGATGATTTTAATTACTTCACCCGTTGAGCGCAGTTTGCATATTTGGTTGTCGGTGGCAGCGTTGCGTGAACCAGATGTTTATGCCCCTAAATAGGGGTTCCCGGCGATGCTGATGCATGGGTGTAGAGAAGGGGCTAAAGTATGGGAGAGGTTTTTATTAATTCAGGAATATTTAAGGTAGTTTCTGATCTATGCTTTTGAAATATTAAATTAATATATAATTATATACAGGGTACTATAATTTTAGTCAGAAGCTTGCAAGAAAGTTATATAATAGCTTATAATTATTTCAAGATATTTTATATATTTTCCCCTCCCTGCTCAAATAATACGACTACCCCCATGGATCCAGGACTGGGGCAGCTATTTTCCCCGCAGCGATCAATCAGCGGGGCACAAATGAGTCTGCGAATGGGTCACAACAATGCATCGCGATCTTCGTCTCCGTCTCCATCTCCCAGTGGGCAGCAAACGCTTCCGTTTCGCTCTCGACTCGTCTGTCTGTCTGTCTCGCTTTACTTTGAAATCGGAAACGCTTCGTATATTTTTTGGATACACCGTTTTGACTTTAACATGGACACGGACACGGCCATCTGCTCATCTGGGAATATGGCAAAAGGGAATCCGTATCCGAATGAAAATTGTAATATTCGCAGTTCTGTGGAGCATTTTGATCACATTTCAACATTCGCGAGGAGTTCATTGGAATAATAAAGGACGTTTGACTTGAGTTTTGATGAAATTTATTTATTCATTTTATGCTTAATTGTTACAAAACGGATTTTCGAGAAGAAATTGTTAGTATTTAAGATTAAAGGCAGAGGAAATTTGGGATCTAGAAATAAAATAAAATATTAAAAAATTGTAAATTGTATTTCATAATTTATTTATGTCATTCGTATAGTATTTATTCTACGATAAACCTAAACTTTTAGAGTTTTTCTCACCTAAAATATAAAATTCCAAAAAATTATTACTTATCTTGAAAACTACTTGTCTTCTAATGGTTATAATTAAGCTTAAATGATGTGATTAAAGAATTCCGTAACCCTAAGATCTATACATTCGGGAGACCCTCTCAAAACTGATTTATGGCTTAGTTTTATCAATATGTTATTAACTCACTGAACCACATCCTCTGTCAATATTTGTCCACCGAATGCACTTGAAATTTTCTCTTACCCCTCATCCCCAAATATACTTTCCCCTCTGACACTGGATGCCGCATTCAGAATATTGAAAATCCCTAGGAAAACTAAAGGAACAAGTCGCCCTCTCCACTGTATTAGTTTCGGTGGCTGCAATTACCGCATAGAATTTCCACCGAACACTGTTTTAGTCCAGCCCCCCAAAGGAAATATCCACATAATACATATAGTAGAGCCAAGAAGGGGATTTAATGTGGGATTGGGACTCGGGTAGCTACCTAAAAATGGGAGACACACAACTGTCAACGCCCCCTCTCCTTTTCCCCGGCCATTTCCAGTATTATCCTAGGGGTTCTTAAAAAAACTAATGCAGCAGTGGAAGAGCGGCTCAAATGACGAGGGATCGTCATAAATCCCGATGCTAAATTTAGAACGTGCCAGGAGCGAGGCGAGGATCGCCGCAGGACGAAGGACGAGCGCTTCTTTATGTGTGATCTCAACTAAGTTGCTTATTTTTTCGCAAGGCCAATTCCCACACATGGTAATCAATGGCATGTGCTATGCGCCTAAGGACTGCAAATCTTGCTGTGCAGGCCAAAGGACCTCATGCCGGGGGACAAACCGATTTCCTATTATTTTCCCAACATATGTGTGGGCGAGAGCGACTCGAGTCGACTCGCAAATGAAATGAAAACAATGCCCGAGCGACGAGGCCATGATTTTCCCTGCCCTAGCTGACTCCGCTCCGGAGGATATATAGGCGCCGCCGCTGCGCAGTCCCTCCGATGTGTGATCCTTGATCTAAACTATGAAGATTCATTCATCAGGCAGCCGAAAAAAAGGGGCGTTCTGGCAACCAATACTTGCGCATAAATCAATTGTTTCCAAAGACGACTGACTGCCTAGCTCGTTTCTCATTTTCGCTTAGTTTGCCGCCTTAATTAGATGTGGAAATTCCGAGGAAATTCTCCGTTTGCTATACGATTATTGCCAGAAAAAAATAAAATGGTGATTCCGCCTCGTTTATTGATCTGGGTTGCCAGCTAAACATTTCCCTCGATTAAAAGAAACACGCAAGAGAAGAGCAAACAGATTTTCCTAAAAGCTGAATTTTCTATTTGAACATTTTAATAGTTATTTATAGTTTATTATTGATTTTAAATCGGATTTAGGTAGTAAATATATTTACAGAGCCTTTGACAAAATGTAATAAATTGGAAAAGCAACTAATACATTAGTTATCACAAGATTTATAGAGACATTTAGACTTTTACCTGCTTAATAAGTTTTAAATCTTCGTCATCCTATAAATATTTAAATTATAATTATATCAAGATATTTTATTTAAGCTGAAAATGTAAATAATTAGACTAATTCTGGAAGCACTAGAATTATTTTCCTTTGAGTAATGAATTTGACCAACAATTCTTCAAAAGCAATTAAAACGAAAATTACATTATTCACAGTTTACATAAATTTTAATGAAAACAAAGAAGATCAATCGGCAAGCAAATAAATCGAGATGTATTCGCATCATTTATTGAGGCGTGAACTGATCAAATATAGATAGAAAAACAAGGCATCCAAGTGGATATATTTATGCGTAGTTCTTGAACTCCAACACCTTTTTTATGGCCTCAAGTGGCCAAGATAATCTATGATAATCTCCTTAAATTTCCTAGCTCCCCATAACATCGTTCTAATACTTAAAAGAGAAGCATTTTCCATCCCCACGACCAACGACAACCTGTCAACTTGCATGCGATATGCCAATTTAAGCACATCTAAATACAAATCTAATTTTGTATCTACACGAAACGAGTGCGCAGCGATCTTTCAGATGAGTATCTCAAAATAAGCAGCCGTGCAGATTGTATATAGAGCGGAGAGCACTTTCTGCTGTCATTTAAAAAGCAATTAAGTCAACAACTATGAACGAGAGCGATCGGTGCGATCCGTCCGATTGCCTTTGATGAGGCGGAGTCCAGTTCCAGTTCCATTCGGGCCCCAAGGCGACCGGGACTAAACTATCTGACTGAGCTAATTATGAGCGTTTTAAATACGCATTTTGGCGACATAAATACTTTGTTCTTCTTCTGTTATACTTTGTAAACAGTTTTTATGTTTTTGAACATAAATCAACCGGATGTGGATGTGGATGTCGGGGGTCTCCTCTCCCATGTCTACACATATGATGCAGTATGTAGTATGTAGTATGTGTATCTCGCAGATACACACGGTCCATCTGTCGGCGGAATGACGTTACGCTCTAAGTATGTCGACGTCGCTCCGATTGTCTCCGCATTTATAAGACAAAAAGTCCAATTCCAAGTCCGGGATCCGACCCCCCCCAACGAAGACATTTTCGCGCCCAATTTAGTGGAGGGGAGGAACCAGATCCCAAAGATCCGACAGATCCCAAAGATACAAAAGATCCCACTGAGAAATAATTGACTACAAAATGGCGTCTGTTTTGTTCATGGCGTTTTCTTTGTTTCTTGACTTTGTTTATCGTTTCTTTTTTTTTTTGTGTTGTTTCTTTACAATTAATTTAGTTTAGACTATGTAATTAAATAGGCTTTTATCGTAAGTTTAGGCTTAGACATCTAATCGACACATATGCGTATATGGAAAGAGTGACAGAGAATTGAAGAGTGAGCACGGCTAGGGCTCTGGAATTCACACGATTGTTGCAGCTGGAAGCCCCTCCTGGATCCTTAATATCTATATAGGAGCCCGATCCGCTGCTATGCCTTCTGGTGCTGGGCATCGCCCTCCATGCGCCACACCCCAAACAGGTAACTCAGCTTCTCGGGCGGGATGATCGGTGCTCCATTGGCCTTCCTCAGGCACTTGAGATCGGCGTCCGCTCCATTGGCGGCGGCACTCAGTAGCGAGGCGGCCGATCCATATCCCGAGGGAGATCCCTGCGCCTCCAATGCCTTCAGCAGGGATATATCACTCGAGCTGAGCATGCGGCACAGGAAGTCAATGTATCTGCAAGGAGAAAGAAAGACAGATTGGGGTTTAATTAAGGGCCAAAATAAAGATACAAGAACTTAAAGATATAATAACACAACTATTGGAAAGAATAGGATAAACCAAAGGTATTTCCTTGAGGAAATTGAGAGAATATGAACGAAAATCTAAAATCTTTAAAGTCTATAAATGTATTCCTGAGAACATAATTTAATATTTGTTGACTAACATTTTTTATATGCCTTTGGGATAGGAAGTAAAATTCTTAAATTGTAATTAAGTCTCATTTATATTCCGCGGAGAACACCAATTACAAACGAAAAAGGAAGTTTAATAATACTACTAAAAATATCCTGTATATCTGAAAGTACTCCTTACCTTGTGGCCAGTTTTAAGGTCTGAATCTTGCTTAGCTTGTCGCTGGGCAGCGTCGGGATGATCTGCTGCAGCGCCTTGAAGGCATCGTTGAGACTCTGAGTACGTTGTCGTTCCCGGACATTGGCCATCACTCGCTGGTTACTAAACTCATCCGTTTCCTCCGTCTTGCTGGGCTTCCGCTTCAGCCGCCGTCGCGGCTTCCGGAAGGCCTTACCGCCGGCATCTGATCCGTCCAGCAGACTTCCGGCGCTTCCATCATCCGCCAGGCAGGCGGGTGACATGACACCGCCTCCGTTCAGATCATTGACGGAACTCAAAGCCGTGTGGCGGGCATACTCCATATCATCCCTATCCGAGCTGGAATAGGCGCTGCCATTCAGGGAATTGGCCGGCTCATAGCCCTCGAAGCTCTGTCTGTAGGCGGCCTGGAAGTGCATCTGGGAGTGGCTCTGCTGGGTCTGTTGCTGGGTCACTTGCTGGGCCTGTTGTTGCTGGTTGCTGTAGAGCGGTAGGAAGATCTGGGACTTGTGCTCCGCCAGTTCCTCGTCGGGGAAATCAAAATGCGAGTGCGGAGAGTTGCAAGTGCTCTGGACGCCTGGACAGGATTGGGCCGAGGCCACCTCGTCCACAGTGGTGGGCAGGTAATCCACATAGATGTGATGCTGCTGCTGGTGTGGCTGCTGCTGCTGCTGCTGATGGATGAGTTTCTTGTGTTCGGGCTGCATGGCCAGGGAGCCTCCAGTCTGGCAGTCATAGTCCCCGCTGCTCCTGGCTCGCTTGCCATGCTCATTCCAGGAGGAGCCGGAGGTCTCGAAAACCGTGGGATTGGCAGTCGTATTGCTGTTGCTGTTGCTGCTGCTGGTGTTGGTGGTGGTGTTATTGTTGTTCAGCTCCAGGCTGTTACTCTGGGCACTGTGATTGCTGCTGGTGCTGAGTACCTCGTTGCTGGGTATATTATAGTCCTGATCCTCCAGCTCCGTGAGCCCATAGGCCGCATACTCTGAGGGCAGGGGAGCGTACTGAGGTTGCTGGGAGAGACTATGTTGCTGTTGCTGGGAGAGATTATGCTGCTGCTGCTGCTGGTTCAGATGATGCTGCTGATAGCCCGAGGACTGCATGTAGGCCTGCTGCTCCACCTGGATGAGCTTAATCACATTGTGCTGCAGCTCCATGATATTGGGCAGCGTGGGCTTGTAGCTAATGTCCAGCAGCACTTTGGGCGACACCGAGCGAGCGCTCATCATTTGCATGGGAATTTTTGGTTGATTTATTTGGCACACACTTTTAGGATAAATAACTATATATTATCGGCGATATATATAATCTATAACTATGTGTTTCGTTGGCCCCGAAGGAGATCTGATCGCACGCACTGTCGGAACGCAACTGACGCACGATCCTTATGGCCATTGCTCAAATTGACATTTTGCGGCTGCTCGACGGCCATTCGCTGCCACCGCTCATATGTTTGTCTCGCTCGCACCCTCTCTCGCTGTGCTCTATGGCCATCCCGCTCTGGCCCAATGGTGGATGCTGTGGTTCCGCAGGTATGACGTCAGTCGGCGGGGTATTTTTCATTGCATTTTTCTCCAGCGGCGGCTGCAAAATGCGTTTGCATTTTCCCATCCGCTCGGCCAAAGAGAGCCTTGACTCTGGCCCGCTCTTGGGTTATTCTTTGCCGGGTTTTCTCCTCGTTTTGGGAAAATGTCACGGGGAAAATGGTACGGGGAAATGGCAGAGGATCGTTCGATCCGTTGATTGGAAAAAATGTGCCGAAAATTTTAAAAATATTCTTACTTGTTGATTCAATGAGAGGGAATGCATAAAGGCATTTAAAGTTGTTTTTCGGTTATATATTAAATTATTTACTAATAAGCTCAAAAACAATTATATATATTATTTTCTGGGGTGATTTATTTGTGAGATTGTGCGGCTCAGCCAATTCTTATCTTTATTTTGCATATTTAACTAGTAAAAGTTAAATGAATCTGTGATTTTAAAATTGAATAAAATACCTAAAAGTAATTTATCTTAGAAATATTCTTAAATATATTTGCTACTTTTCTAACTTCGTTATATTGTCTATAATCTATATAAATATCAAAACATTTTCAGGAAACATTTAATTATGAATTAAGAATAAATATATCAAATATAAAACTGAAAACAATTCACTGAATTGTATATTATTAAATTACCTATACTATTTTAAGCTTAATATAAATGTTTAAAAAATATTAATTTAAACGCCAAGTTAATTTTATCTGATTGAGAAATTTCCCTTTCCACCTTTCTGGTTGGGGGAAACTTTGGTTTCATAGGTAGTTCGGGCTCGCGGAATTTTCCCAGGAAAGCCGGCAAAATGTTTGTGCGTTTATGCCCATCAAAATCATTCCGCTATTATATAATCATCAGTTGCCAACCATCGTAAAGGACAAATCCTCAACCCTAAAGGAGGGGAACTCCGCGGAAAGGTTTCATTATGCCTAATTAGTGAATTCCCACACATACAGATACCGATACTTACACCAACCGAGAAAATCTACGCCAAAGATCGCGCACAGCTCCGAAAATCCACAAAAATACGAGCGAAAAGTCAAATTTCCGGCCGGGGATAACAAAAATACCCGATTAATGCCGAGCTCGAACTTCCGCTGGAAAAAACCGCGATTTCATATCGCCGATCGTCCGGCTTAGGTAATAACAAAACCCCAGGACCGGCCCCTGAGAAAAACCACCAACAGGGTTTTGCCCTGTACTCCAGGTAGAGTTTTATGGACTCGAAAGTTTTTAGATACATTTTTGCTTCTATGTCAATAATATTTATGGCTTAATTTTATGTGATCTAATTAATTTAATTAAGATTATTTAATAAAGAAAATGAGAACATTGAAGTACAATATAAATAAAAGATATATTGAAAATAGAGTTGCTGTTAACACTCACTTTTTTTTTAAGTTTAATAAAATAAGTTGGAATATTGCAGGGAATTAATGACTTTATCCACATATTATTATGTATCTATTTTTTATAGAGAAATATTATTATTTAAAACCTAAAATTCAAAAGCAAGCAAAGGTTGTAGAGTTCTTATTGGGTGCAATATTCTTCCCTGCTTTTTTCTATCAGAATTTGGTTTGAGTTATGTTTAATTCTTTAAAAATAAAACTTTTAATATTAACATTGAAACGGAACACGCCTCGGAAATAGTGTAATTTATCCCTTAATATAAAATGTTAAACAACTTAAATATTCAATAAAAGTGTAGCCATCTTTTTGGCTGTAGCATAAAACCAGCTTTGCTTTAGATAAATTAAAGAGTAGCGCCTTAAGAAGGGCAACATTAAATTTTCTACAATATGTAGAAAAGGATTTGCTGAGAAATAAAAATATAAAAGTCAGCAAAGAAACTGAAAAACTACAAAAAAGTTAAAAAATTAAAAACAAATAAATCTAAAATTATTTAAATAAATAAAAACCTGAATATAAGCATTTTTTCATAGATTTCTATTGTCGTCTCTTGAACAAAATGTAAAAAATATGTAAACATAAGCAATTCGATGTGATCTTAATGTTCCAATTGGACACACTGCAGTCACGTAGTTTATTGATTTCAATTCCGTTTACGAGCCCGAATCAAACGAAAATAAAAAACCAAATGAGTGGCTGGAAAGGTATTTTGCGTATTACTTGTTGTTGTTGTTGTATTTAGCGATGCTGCTTCTGTTTTTCATCTCGTCGTCTTGAGATTTGCTGTGATTTTTTGTGTTGTTTGCATTTTGGGTTTTGCGTGGTGCGATTGCCAAACGATTTCAAAGCGGGGCCAACTTTCCATTTTGACAATGCTCTAATCCTGCCATCGCAAACTAAAAAAACTAAAAATAAACAACTAGCGAAAACAAAAAGGCAAAGCTCTCCTTGTGCGAGAGCGAGTGTGTGGAGCGTGAGAAGAAACTTTTGGTGCACGTAAATCTCGCTCGACAATCAATTAAAATTAAAATATTTTTTGCCTGCCGCTAGCGCAGCAGCGTTGTCTACATATTCGAATTGACTTTTGATGATGTATCACGATTTATTGTTACCAAAAATGGTCGTCAAAGCGCGTGGAAAAGTGGATCAGGTAGGCAATGGCGACGTCTAACGGTGCGGGTTACCTGGCCAAAAAGAAACAAAAATGGGGTTCAGACAAACTCCCACAGCTTTTGATCTCCACAGTTGTAGTTTCCTACGACGGATGTTCTCCTTAAGTTGAAGAAAGTTAGTGGGGTATTGCATTTTTTAGGAAATATATTTAACACTCAATGTACCTCAATTATCTTTAATTTGATTGAGCAGCCAAGGATAAATATTTATGTATTTTTGGATATATTATATTATTATTTTGTAACTGTTTTATTACTTGAAATAAGTACTTCATCCTTAAAATAATGTAGATAATATTAGCTGACTTAATATACACTATGACCATTGTAATTTATGTATATATATATTTTATATTTGTTTTATTAAATTGAAGACATTCTCCGTGAATATAAATATGTTAAAAATGTATTTAAATATTAGCCAAATACTTATTGAATACCTGAAAATTACAAAGAAGTTGGTAAGATGTTTCTAATTAATAAATCAACTGACTATTAGTTTGATAAATTTGTTTTGATTTTATATAAAATTAGATTTTTCGATTTGCTATTAACAATTTTGCCTTACTTATTTTTATCATTTATTTCAAAATTTTCTATAAAAATTTAGCCTTATTTATTAACTTAAAATTAACGACTTGTTCCTGTAATTTTCCAAAAGGGAAACGTGAGCGATGCAACCACTTTGATTAGGAACAAAGCCGCTCTATGGAAATGAAAATGAAAATGACAACGTTGGAAGCTGTCAGCTGCTGTTGTACCTTGTGTTAATTGCCTCCCTTTCGCTCTCCCTCACACACACACAACCTCTTCTCCTCCCGTGGCCCTAGGTTTTAACCATTCCAGCCAATAAAATCGCTGGCGCCAAACACCTACACTTCCAAGAGCTTGTCAGCTTGTCAGCGTGTGTGCGCTGCATGTTAATTAACACACACACACCGCCACAAAATAACAGAAAAAAGCCCCGAGAGCACAAACACTCACACACAGATATCTCACAGGCACACCTGCACACACCTGGGTGGGGGCACACACAAACTCACTCCGTCACGTCGGCCACCCAATAATATAAGCGCCAACTTGTCATTTTAGCCTAGCTCCACCTTAACTAAACAAACAACAAAGTGGTGCAAACACACACATACACACACTGATATATGCGTGGCGGTAGTGGTGAGCTTTGGTGGCGCGCGCGCAAAGCTCACCACGGCCCCAACCAAGTTGGAGGCTTGAAATTTTCACAGTTCAGTTCAAGTTTGCTGCGCGCCACATTCAAACGTGCTTCGGCTCGCTCGCTTGCTTTGCGTTTCGTTGCCATTTCGTTCGCCCTTCGTTCCATTTCCGTTCCGTTTCGTCTTGTTCCGGTTGCGCTTGCGCTTTGCGTTTACTTTTGCATTGTTTGCATCTCCTTATCAGCCGGCGTTTTTTGCGCATGCGTGCGTGCCTCTTGAGCGTGCGTACGCGTGCGTGCGTGCGCCGCCGTGTGCGTGTGTGTTGGTGCGACGCGACGCTTTAAATGGCGTTTTAAGTGAAATTAAAATGACGGATGTGCCGCAATTTGCACACTCACGCCGCAAACAACGAAGGCTACGTACCTACCAGCAAAGAATCAAGAGGAATACATAAATAAATAAATAATAACACAGCGTTGTGGGGCGTAGCATGTGCCTCTCTTAGTTGATCGAATTAAGTGCGAGTTTTATAGCGCCCGCGGGACCGGGAACTGCAATTGACTGACGTACTAAAAAAAAAAACCAAACACAACCGGAAATGCAAGCCCCACCAACAGCTAAACAACAAGTGTAACACCCCCGCCCAGGAAGCGGCGGCAATAAGTGCTAATAAGTGTGCCGCAGACAATAACTACAGCGAGTCCGATTCCGAGTCCCGGAGTCTATAACTAAAACCGGATGCAAGGGCCACCAGTAATTGCCAATTTTAGTTACAGTCAGTCGATTTCCCCTAAACTCGAAACTTCCCCCACTAAATTGGGTGACTCGAATATATTGTATTGTCTTTTAGTGGCCTTGTTATGATTTACATTTTTGGGTGTTATGATTTTCAGTTGAATTCGTTTTACAATTATTGTAAGTTAATAGAACTTTTAGATGGTAGTTTTTTGTTACCATATTGAAAAACTTAAGCTGGGGGTCTGTATCTATTCTTAATGTATTACTTAATTAATGAATATTTTATTAATAGGTATTTATTTGACGTTTTAAAATTCGTTGAATACAAAACTCAAAAATAAAAT